AGGGAATGTTATTGCTGAAATGTAGGGAAGCAGGGATGACACAGGACTGTGGGATTTGCTGGGAGAAATCGGTGTCACACCACAGATGATGAGAGCCAAGGATCCAGCCATAAGTGAATAAATAAAAATAAATGATGAACAACTGCTGCTTGCTGAGGATATTAGGCACATTGCCAACACTGAGCCAGACAGCTGCTGAGGGTCACATCCCGAGGGCGCTATGCCGGGGAGGAGCAATCAACAGGCACTCGCAGCCCTGCTCTTTGTGCTTTTTGGGTCCCTGGACACACATTGACTTTCGCAATTGCAGCCCTGGCACCCGGCCTTTGCTGCACGCCTGCATGCAGGGCTGAAGAATAAGCCTCTTTGCTTTCTCTCCTGGTATTTTGGGAGAGCATGCTGCTTTGATCCTGTGTTTACTTTATTGGGTTTTTCTTGGGTGTTCATTACCAAGACCATTTTCATGCAAACAGGGTCATAGTTTGGTAGTCTACCAAAGCCTGCTCCTTCGGCTTGTGCCTCCTCTACAAACCTAATCTGCTCTTCCTAATAGCCCCATTGGTTGCTATAGCAATGATAAAGTGTTAGGAAAAAGGCAGGATGGTACTTAAATGTATGGCTGCTGTTACCTTTTTCTTCCTCCCTCCTGGGAAGGAGAAACACAATAATGGAGATTTGTTTGGTGTATTATTGTTTTATCTAAAGCTTTAACTGAAGGCTCTTTGGAGCCTGAATGCAGTCCTCCTCTCTCAGCATCCTTTGAGGTTGGGAATGTTGCAGCTCTAAAGTAGTTAAGGAGAAACAAGAGCCCAAATTAATGAATACAAAGTACATATCATTTTGGTTTTAAGATGCTAAAGGTTACATTTACTATGACCTGTGGAGAGTGTGAATTTGCCATGACCAGCCCACCATGATGGGAACTTGCTGCAGAGTGCTTAGGGCCCAGTTGGGTTTCTGAAAGTATTGAAAGGTAGCTGAATGTGTTAGCAGTGAGTTTGTTTTGGATTTGCATTTGCATCAGGAGAATTACTCAGCATTGCCATCAAAAGTGGCACTTTGATCAGTAAATTAAAAAATCTTAACACCCTCAGCAATCAAGGGAGAGGAAGGCAGAAGATGCAGTATTTTTGCTTAGTAGCTGCATACAGGAATGGGTGGCTGTTTGTTTTTTTTTTTTTGTACCAAGCCCCCTCTTTTACGCACCCAGGAGAGCAAAAATTACTTATTATGTGTTTTTAACTTTTTGCCAAGTTTGTAGTCAGAATCATGTATCTGCATTAAAAGTTGAGTTCTCAGAAACTGTCTAATTTGTAACAGCCCAAAAGAGCCAGGTTTGTGTGAATTTAGATCACTTTAGACTCCGCCGTCCTGGTGAATGTAGGCAAGCTAGGCATTAAGTACTGACACAGATTAGTCCCTTCTCCTCCTTACCAAGCAAGAGCATCCCCTATGCCAAATGTGCCTAGCCATGACAGGATCAGCTTGTTCCCAACTCCTAGGAATTGCTAGACAAGATCAGACCAATGATATATCGAGTGAGATGCTCTTTCTGGCAGTTGCTGTTTAAAGATGCCTCAGGCTTAAAGCATTCAGAACCGTGTGGCAGGTATATTCTTTTCCATATCAAATCTCATAGGGACTGAGTTGGAGATTGGGTTAAATCTCAAATGGGAGGATTATATCACTTCTGAATTTATGGCTGGCATTAAGTCTGGATGTTCCCGTTACCTGTATAAAAGTGAATCCCTTTTTGAATCTTTTATGGCCTGGCTTGATTAAAAGTGGGATGAAAGCAGAACTAATTTTAATGGACTTAGTACTCACACTGGTATAAAACCAGTGCAAGAAGAGATGTGGTTCCTACAGTCCCTCATCCCAGATGTATGTGAGATTCATGGAAAATATATTACCAGAAGGAAAAAATTGACTCATTTACCTATTAGTTACATTCAAGGTTGCTTAGTTAAGCGTTCATATAATGTTTTCTTACAGGAGACAGCTTTGTTTCCTTATTTCCAAACACAGCAGCTCATCTTGCTTTCCATCAGCATAGCCAAAAATATCAGGTGAGAGAAAACAAGTCTTTTTTTTTTCCAGCTGCATGTGTCAAGGAGTCTCCCTGGCATGCAGCCCCCATACAGTGCTGCCTTCTACTTTGTCCTGTGCTCAAAAGACCAATTAAGTGATCCGCTAACACCATACATCTGGGGCTGGAAATGGCTGGGGGAGGATGAGGAAGGGGAAGGAGAGCAGTCTGCTCTCTTCCCTACCTATGCAGATATGGAGAAACACTGTCCCGAGAAATGGAGCCAGGCCAGTGTACGAGCACCTCAGGAGGCAGCTCTGAAGGCCTCCACCTAGCCTTAGATTTAGCCAGGTTTTGGAGGGGTTTTTTTGTTGGGGTTTTTTGGGGTTTTTTTTCCAATACTCAGTAAGTGTGAGCATTCAGAGAGCTTGCTGCTAAGGAGATTTGTACTAATCCGAGGCCCTTGGGTTTATATATCCTCAGCAACTCCATCCAAAAAAAAGAGGGAACCAAAACCAGCTAGTGAGTTGCAGAGAAGAGATTGTACGCCGTACCCTACATGCCTCGCAGACTGCCTATGCCATGCCACAGGGCCACCTCCACCCCTAAAAGAGACAGATGGGGTCTCCATGCCCCAACCTTTGATGAAGGCATCCCTGCCAGGGTTGTTGGGTTTGGGGATTGGCTTTTCAGTCACTTGTTTGGGTTGGGGCTATCAGATGTTGGTGAACAGCCAGGTAACTGAACCCTCTGACAGCCCTGTCCTGGCTAGCTCTAGTTGCTCCACCAAGGAGTTACTTTTCCTGGTATAAAGGTATTGTCTCGACAGTTTAGCCCTGGAGGTAAAAACCATGATGTGTCCTTGAGTATTCCTGCTCTGGGTCTCTACTGATGACAGTGGAAATAGCCCTGGGGCTAAGTTTTTGAGTTGGTTGCCTCTTTGGATCACAGAGGAAGGAGATTTGGAGTAAGGTTTTAATGGATTTTTTGGTCCTGTAGGTCAGCTAAAAGGTAGGGGGAAAGCTTTACTTCATGGGTTGATGCTTGCAATAGGAATCAAGGTAGGTCTTGGCAGTCACCTTCCAAGCCGTGATCATCTGGAAAAGCACAAGTCCAGAGGCTGCAACTCCAAGGGATAATCCAAAGCGGGAGGACAACTGCTGGCTGAGTGCTTGGAAACAACAGCAAAGAGGTCTGGGAGTGGGTAAACAAGGTGTTTTGTGGGGCAAACGGAGAACCTCGAAACATGCGTCTCTGGCCACACTCACTGCTGATAGAAACACCTGATGGAGCTGCAGTGCTCTCGCCTTCAAGGGTGGGTTCGGGTGGTTGTGAATGTACTTGACGGTAATACCAGAGCAGTAGCTGAAGTGAAACTTGTCCTCTTAGACATGAGAAACAGCTGCTCTCTGATAAGTGCTGAGGGCCTTCGGAGAGGCCGCATTCTCCATCATTTCTTTTTAATTCTGCCTTTTCAATTTTAGATGTGTTGCAAAGGACCAATAAAAGAGATCCTAGCCAACAGTGGGAGTTGAACGTGCTGTTTTCTGTTAGTCATTAGATTTTTTATTTTTTTTTTAATGCATTTGACAATTTCCGGAGAGTTTTTCCCCCCCGCTTTGTGTAGGCTGCCATCTTCCTTTCTTTCATTGTAGCAAGCATGTGGGCATAGCCTTGCTTACACTCCAAGTGACTGGGGAACCACCATAAATGTAGCTTATCTGCTTTCTGATACATTTTCTTTTGCATTGGTTTGGATTTGTGCATCGTCAGTAACATCTGTTCTGCTTTAGTGGCATACAGTTTTCTGAGTCTAATTAGCTGGCTGCTTGTAATCAGGACTATTTCAACTGTTGTCATTCTGAATGTTCTTTTTCCCTTTTTTTTAATACCACATTTGCCTGATTGACCTTTTTTGTTGTTTTTTTTTTTCTCTGTCTTTCTATCGGGCTGCTCCAGGAGCCATGGCTAATCATCTTATAACCAATGCTCTGCTTCGTCCTCATGGCACTAACAACCCTTATAATACATTGCTCGGGGAATCGGCGGTCTATAACAACCCTTCTGTCAGCATGTACAACGCACAAGGTGTGCTGGAGTTTCTCTCTAATTTTTCTAGTGAGAATTCCATTTTCTGTGGCTTATTTTGGCCCATTTCTTTCTTTTTTTTCTTCCCTTTTTTTTTCTTCCCACAAACACACACTTTTTTTTTTTTACTTTTTTTTTCTTTTTTTTGAACTGAGCACAAAAAGAAGATCCCCTACCCTTCCTTTCATTTAAATGCATCTTTCCATTTTCCAGAAGCTTTTTTTTTCCATGAGCTATCAAATTCACGAAACACCCTCGTCAGTTCTAATCAAAGCATTCATAGTGGTTTTGATTTTGTTTTTTTTTTTTCCAATTTCCTTGCTTTTATATTGTGTTGGTCTTGTGTGTGTATTCTGTTATATGTATCCATTCCTCTCTTTGTTGTCAGTGCATTTCCTTGTTAAACCATTCATTTCAGAAACAGGAACACCTTTGAAGGTAAGTGAAGCTAAAATGGCCTTTGCCACCAAAGCTGCTCTCATTTGAAATGGCATAGAGACATGTGGTCAGCAGCACACCAGCTTGCACAGGAAAAAAAATGCAAAATAAAGTAAAACTGCCCTTGATCTCTAAGAAAAATGGCAGCTGAAGCGAGGAACGTAGGTCAGCTCCAAAGAGCAGAGCTTAGATATTGTAAGAAATGTTTTGCCATTTGCAATAATACATTTTATATCTATTATTAGAAAGAAAAAAAAAAAAAGAACAGAAAAAGGTGTAGTGAAACTAGGAGCTCTTGTGTGTACTTCTTTCAGCAATGGAAAATAAGGAGGTAGAGTCAGTTGTACCTAATGGAGGATTCCGCTGTAGAAGTCAGTCTCTTGTCACTTATGTGTTTGTCTCTGCTCCGGCTGTGGGAAGGGACCATATTTGTAAGCTGATGTCCTGATGCTTCCATGAGGGAGAGGCATATGGGTTCAGATGGGTTTGAGGAGGAGCTGGGGAGTGTGGAGCCCTGACAGCTCCTGTCTGTTGGTGGCTCTGTCCTGCTCTGCCACTTCCATCGGATTTTTTTTTTGGCTTGCTTGCAAGGTGGCTGTATCATTACAGAGTAATGCTGAGTTCAAGCACAAGTAGGTCAGCACTCTGACAGCTCTCTAATCCCAATGAAAGTGTCCCTTTCCAGTAAAGGATCTCTGAGGAAGGGAAAATAATGATGTTTATAATGCAAGCAGGAAAACCCCCTTTGTGTACTATATGACAGCATATTGTTTACGATAGAAATAGATATTGAACTGTATCACTAGGGTGTTTTCATTCAAAGCACAAGGAAAGCACACGTGTTTGACCTTTTTGCTGTTCATTAATTTCTTACACTATGCTAACTTTGTGCAATAAATTTGCTTCCACAGAAGCTTTTTTAAAAAGGGCTACTGTTAAACATTAAAGGCTCTGAATTTTAAGAACTTCAATGTACCGCAAATGTCGAAAGGAGCTTTGATATTCTGTGTAGTTTCTTGCATGGTGATATTGAGGTTTGGGGTACTTTTAAATCAAGTGTCAGCAGGTAATGCCGGGTCAGCATTTGGCTTAAGAGAAGTCCTGATGTTCAAGTCCAGGTGCCTTAACTGAACCCAAGTGACGTGAGTGGAAATGTGACAGAAAGGTTTTACGTACATTTTAATAATCTTGTGTTCTTCTAATTTTTAAAACTAAATTCTGATACAGTTACTTGAGTTAAGAGCATTTTATTCCACAAAAATAGTGTAATTGATTTGCAAGTGCTATTCAGTGCAACACAGCCAGATGGATATTAGAGAAACCTACCCAGGCTTCCTCCATGGGAGGTGAAGAGAGTGGGACCAGTACAGATCCCATTTAAACCCTTAGATCTTTGCCACTGACTTCAGAGGAAGCAGAACCCAACACATCATTTTCAGGAGGCTGCAAGTTAATTAATGAGCATACAACTGGTATAGTAGCTATTGCTTTTCAAACTGGTTACTGTCTCTAGACAATTAGAAACTGTGAATAATAGGATAGGAGATTCTGCAGCAGAAACAAAGGTTAGCAAAGCCAAGCAGGCCTAATTGCCTCGGCAGTTCTTTGGAATTTAAGGATGCTGAACCAGCAGGCACGCTACAGTGATGATAGTGCATTGTAAAAGTAGGTGCTGTCACCATCTCTGGGTGTGCCTTGGCTGGGATCAGCGTGCAGTGAGGGCATTGCTAGCTAACATCATCCAACTAACTCATTCCATATCACTAAGGCTATGATTTTTTTTGCACCTTCATCTACCACTTCTGATGCTGGCCATTGACAGGAAGAGGACGCTATAAGAAACCTTGGGGCTGATCCAGTCCACCCCTTCCTTTCACTGTCCCCAGTAATGTGTTTTAAAATACCCTTTCTGCTCAAGCCGAACTGCCCCATATGCAGTAGAGAATCACCAGGGGCAAGGAGCCAGGTGGAACCACCACACCTTGGAAAGAGGTGGGGAATCAGACTCTAAAAGGATGAAGTCCCATTTCCCAGTGGCAAAAGTGATTCCTTGATGGGACACAGAGCATAGAGGAAGGAGGAGATGGTAGGCGAGGGTTATGGCGCCCCGCAGCATGTGCCGAGCGCTCACCACCGTTGGCAACTGATGGACGTACACTGACTCGGTCTCTTGGACACAGGAGTTTCTGAAAATGGCCTAACTGCTTTTGTGAAAGCTAATTTTAAGAGAAGGCAGCAATCCTGTTAATGAGCTCTGGTTAAACCCCAGCGTGCCACAGACCATTGCAAAGTGGGAAGTTGAAAGTTATCACTGACTCTTCATCTTCATCTCCGGCTCTTCTTGTTTTAACCCTTTCTTCTCAATAGCTTCATTTAGCGATGCCATTATTCGAACTACCGTTCCTCTTGCATTTTTTTTTTTTTTTTTTGTCAATTTTTTTTTTTTTTTTTTTGCAAAGTCCATGTAGTTGGCCATGTCTTCTGTTAAAAAAAGAGCAGACTTACCAAAGTTGGTAAAATGCCAGCAGCCCTGTGACGAGCAAAGTCATACTCTTACAAAGCACAGTTGGAAAGGATGGACAGCAGAACATTTTTAGCAAGGAAATGGATTTCAGTTTCAACTGCCAGGGGTTATTATAACTAACAGTAAGTAAAGCCATTCCTTTTAAGACTTTGGAAGTGACGTTAACAGTGCCTGTCTTTTCAAGCATGACCATTACCAGCTTTAGAATTTTCTTAAATTTCCAGGCATTATTTCTTGATTTGTGTTGCTCACTGAACGTTTTATAATGGCATTGGAAAACATTTTAAATGTGATAATTTTTTAAAATAAAAATGTAGTCTCTTGAATATTGCACTTAAAATAATTTTTCTGTCTAAAATGTCAATATTTTTAATCTGAAATAAACCATGTAACAAATTCATGTATTCTGGGCAGTGGAAATTATTTCCGTTAACTCTCTTTTCTGCATATCATCAATTTGCTTTTTACTCATGTTTCTCCTACTGTCGCTGTAAGCTTACTTGTTGTTTTTTCTTTCCTTTTCTTCATGCTGTCGTTTAGAGCCCTACAGAGAGACAAGTATGGGAGTAAAGCTAAACATTGCATATCAAATGTAATTTTTTTTAGTTCACTTTTATTGCATCACATATAGATGATATAGTTAATCAAGGAAATTCATCTCACAGTTCTGAAATCAAAAGAATATTAATATACATATGTATATATATGTGGATGCGTGTGTATGTGTGTGTGTATATATATGTATGTGTACATACATATATAGATGAGATTAGATGATAATTTGTTTAATTCTCGTTTTAGTGGTATTGTTTACCCAGCATAGTTTCTCATATAACTGTGCATATGACTTTTTTTTAAACTTCACTTTTTTATTTGCGAGGTCATGACATTTTTATGCAGTGTGTTTCATGGCAGACCCCGCTCTGTTCTCACCTGCGATGCCTCCATTTTATTTCCCCACCAAACCCTGACTCTATGCATTGGCAGCAGAAGCGCAGAGCTCTACGCCTCAATGCATATGTTACTCCACATGACCATCGGACAGATGCTGTTGTACCTGTCACCCATTACATACCGTCCTCTCCCCAAAATGCTCACTTTTCATTTCTCCTCAAGCATCATGAGTCGGTTGGAGAGCTTCCACCGTGAAAATCAATGACTTTGCTCTATATCTGTGATGGCTAGTTGATTTTTTGGCATAGCTCCCTCATTTGCTGGGATACCTGGGATACGGCAGCACCCTCTAAGCTTCAGAAACCTAAAAGGTGACCGACACATTTGGGACATTCCAGTCAAAAGCAAGAAGGAAGCCTGCAGTAGTGCTTGCCAGCCCTTGACATGCAGCAACTACTCCATCGCAGATATAGACCAAATCCTGTATTTTCGGAAGGTACACATGCCACGTGCCGAGTTCATCTGAATTGTCAGCTAACAGCTCCTCTAATGCACCGCAGCTTTCTGGGAGTTGCTTGCCATTTTTTGGCAATGCCTGAAGCCTTTAGCCAAAAGTTTGATTTCATGCCTCACCATGCCTGCACTCCTTCCAAGGAGGCCAGTAATCCCAAAAAAGAAAGCATGGTGCCTTAACTGCTGGACCTGGTTTTCTTCTCCCTTGCCCACTTGTGCTGTGTTGCTCTCAAAGTGCTTCCCCGCCGTCTCCCATAGCGTGTTGGAAAACAGCTGAGCTCCAGCCTTACACTGGCAGTGTTGAGACACCTATGGAGATGCGATAGGCAGTTAGTTGGGGGCACCCTGAGACCCCGTTACTCCTCGCAGGTTCCCCTGAGACCCACTGTACCATGGCAGTGATGGTACTTGCCGTACCTCCCACTGAACACTCTGCTTTAACTTTGCAAGTGAAATGGGAGCTATTTTTAAAGGCTTTGCAAGACCCCACAGCAGCTGCTTCCAACATTGATTGTATTAGAAAATCCCTACTCAGCCAGTATGGAGTAAGTAATTTTGGCCATGCCCTTGTGCCAGGAGAGATAGGACTTTTAGCCTTGTTCCGTAGAAGCCTGGTCCAGGAAGCACTTTGGGCCTCCACCTTGCTAATCCCCAAATCCCACCGTCCAGGCCTTATGCCTTTCCCATGACAGCCTGCCCAGCAAAAGGGGAGAATGGATTTATTTTTTTTCCTCTAGGAAGGATACACTCCCAAACAAAGTCTGAGTAATGATTAACCTGGGATGTGAATACTTTTCCCTCAGCTGGGGGAAACTGGCCCCTTCCTCCAAAGTGCCTGGAGCCGGGGCAATTGGGACCAGCCCAGAGTCACCTATTTCTCACCTCCCCTGGGAATACATAGAACAAAGTGTGAGAGCTATAGGAGGTACCAGCCAGGAGAGGTTATTCCTTCCCACTGGCTGTTGCCTTATCAAGTCACATACTTGACAGCACTTTCCATTTTTTCATTGGATAGACCTTAAGGCGGTTAGCTGGAGTTGCGCCCTCGTATTTTGGCCGTGACGCTCTCCTCGCTGCCAAGCCCCAGCAGCTGCGGCAGCCTAGGAAGGGGGTTTGAGTGTGCACATCCCGCGTGAGTGTCCTGTTTGTACAAGTCACCCTCTCTTGTGTAATGTTTTTCAGAGGGGCTTCTGAACAATGCCAGGGATACAAGTGTCACGGATACTCTACCACTGAATGGTAATCACGGCAACAGCTACAGCATTGCCAGCGGCGAGTACCTCAGCAACTGCGTGCAAATCCTAGACCGTGGGTACAACCACACCGAGAATGCCCTCGAGAAAAAGATCCTGAAGGAACTCACCTCCAACTACATCCCTTCCTACCTGAACAACCACGAGCGCTCCAGCGAGCAGAGCCGCAACCTGATGAACAAACTCGTCAACAGCGTGGGCGGCGGGAGTGAGGACGACGCCATCGTGCTGGACGACGCCACCTCCTTCACCCACGAGGAGAGCCTGGGCCTGGAGCTCATCCACGAGGAGTCAGACGCCCCGCTGCTACCCCCCCGGGTGTATTCGGCAGACAACCACCAGCCCCACCTCTACAGCCGGCGGCGCATCCCTCAAGACAACAGTGAGAGCTTTTTCCCCTTGCTGACCAACGAGCACACGGACGACATCCAGTCGCCCAACAGGGATTCTCTCTACACCAGTATGCCCGCGCTGGCCGGCATGCCCATGACAGAAAGCGTCACTGCCAGCACCCAGACCGATCCACCGCCAGCCAAAAGTGGCGGCAGCGACGCCGATGATGTTTACTACAAAAGCATGCCCAACCTTGGCTCCAGGAACCACGTCCATCAGCTACACACTTACTACCAGCTAGGTCGAGGCAGCAGCGATGGTTTTATAGTCCCGCCAAACAAAGAGGGAACCCCCCCGGACGGCAATGCAAAAGGACCCGCTCACTTGGTCACTAGTCTATAGAAGATTCAGCAAAAATTAAGCAAAGAAACAACAAAAAGCCCCTCTGTAATGCTCGGTTTACTGTTCTGAGTTAATCCAAACAGTGGTAATATTGTGTGTACTCCTAAATCTTCATGCTGTTCAAAAGGAAACTCTCGGACTTTTTTTACTGGAATTTTTAGGCTGGCCTGGAGAGGACAGTAACTGCTGCCCCACCCTCTTCTCCTCCCATCCTCCTTCCCTCCAGACAGACTTCATTATGTTAATGAAAGAGATAGATAACGGCACACTTCGTGGCCTTCTCAAGTTATGCCGTGTTTGTTTAAACAATCCTTGATGCTGTGTTGCTCTTAATACCGAGGACCTGATTTAAGAGGGAAAAAAAAAAAAAAAAAAGGCCAAAAATGTGCATTTGAAACTAGTAGCGATGACACATTGAGGTGGGAGCGCTGCACAAAAACAAGCTAGCAAAACTCTTTCTTACCAATCCAGATCACATAATGGGTTTTGGTCACTCACAACTTGGTTTCACTGCAGCACCCTTTGCTGCAGGAGCAAACAAAGCAAAAACAAATTTAATGAGACGGAAGGGAATCCTAGAATTCAGTGCTAAAGGCATATTTTATGTTTTGCTGTATTAACGGATGATAAAAACTAATGGCAGAAAAAGAGAAGCGAACAATTTCTATGTAATGTACAGATACTAGCATTGCACATATAGTCTGCTTTCTGTTCCTCCAGAACTTGCGTCCCTGTTAATGTAGTGGGAAAAAAAAAAAAAAAAAAAAGAACTTTTTTCTGTTGTGCTGGTCTTGTAAGTTTGTCTACCAGTAGGAGCAAGGTTTTTCATAACTCTCTTTTTTTTTTTTCCTTAATTTTGTTTTGCCTCTTCCATTGCCCCTCCCCTCCGTCCCCTTCTCATCCTGGTAAAAATATCTCACTGAGCAAAAAAAAATAAATGAACATTGCTTTCTAAGGACTGTTTTTAGTAACACCATCACCATTTCTTTTCAGCCAAGGCAGACTTTTTATTTCCTCGCTGTATAACTTTCTTCAGCCAGTGTATTGCCGACAGACCTTTTGGCAGACTAAAGCAGGGCAAACTTCCCCGTTGACAGTGCACGACTGATCGTGACAATAATCCTGCAAAGCATCTTTGGTGAGCAGCCCCTCAGCCAGGCCGTAGGGTCACATCCAGGAGCCGAGAGGTTTTTTTTTTTATAGTTGTAGCGGGACTTCTACAGGAGACAGCCATTTCCCTGGAGGAGTGAAGGGCCTTCACAGCTCTGTCTGGTCCCCGGTTTAGGCACTTGTACTGCAGTGGTTAAGAAGAAAATCGATTGACATGTAGTGAGCTAAAACGTACTTTGCAGTGATTTAAAAAAAGAAAAAAAAAAAAAGTCTTCTGTTCATTATTTTTCCTAACAGGAAATTTATTTATTTGACAGGATTTTTAAGTAACATAGGTTTTCTGGAGGTAAATTAGCAGCACGAAATATGAATTCTTCTTCTTTTTTTCTTTTTTCTTTTCTTTTTTTTTTTTAATTTATGATCCATTTTGTACGGTCTCAACAGTTGAATGACCTCATTACTAATATTTGTTGTAAAAGTGAAGCTTGTTTGCCAACCAATAAACAACTGATCACAATTTAGAAAGTACTGTATGTATGTACTGTACAATTAATCTCTCTTTTGTTGTTGTCGTTGTTGTTCTTCTCTCCATTACTGTCTTCAGTACGAGTCTCCACTCCTTTACGGCATGGGTGAGCAATGCCAAAGAAAGGAGGCCTAAGCTGAGCAATTTAAGCACAAAAGTTACGCAGCTATGGCTGACTAGAAATATCAGGCTAGCGGTACTTGTTTAGGGGCAAGAACAACGCCGGTCGACGTTTGTTGCAGGTGATTCTAGGTCTGTTTTGTGCCTCCTGTATAAACTAGCTGACGACACGCGAATGATTTGAGTATAGTATTTCATGTGTCGTACCTTTTAATCATTGTAATGAATTTTTTTAATATTTTTTTTTGTTTTTTAATTTTGGTTCTTCTGAGATTAAAAACTGCTGGTAGCATGTCAAAAGAGTAAAACAAGTCCCCGTTAGGCCTCCTCGGTCGTTGTTTGCTGTCTCTTTATTTTCTTGCTCCGGGCGTACGCAAAGCGCCATCACTGTCCTCAGCCCCATCACCTTTCCCATCCCACTGCTGCTAATGGCCCACTCACACTTCACTGCTCTCCTCCAACCTCCCCCTTCAAATCCCTTGGCAGCAATTAGGATTCGTCATCAGGATATAGAAAGCCACAAAATAGACTAGGAAGGTGGACAGCGAAAATAACCACCTCTGGACATACTCAGTACCAGGTTTTTTTGTATGTGATTTTTCACAAAGCCCTCCCATGCATTGGGCTTTGGGATCTGGTGTTGCCTCCATCCAAGCTGCCTCCATCCAACTCCCATCAAGCTGGGTAAAAGCTGAAAGATTTGGAGCAGGCGAGTGATGCCTGTGTTAGACAAGATATTCCCAGTGCTGGAGGATAAGTGCTGCAGCGGACCAGCTCCACTCTATTCCAGGGTTGTCCTCGTGTGGGGCGATGCTGCTCGATGCTCATCAGGGGGAAAGAAAGAGGGAGTGGTGATGTTTGGTAGTATTTGCAGCCTACAAAAGAGTCTGGTTTAAGTTGCAGAGTCTGGTTTAAGTTGCCTGAGTCCTTCCTGCAGCCAGGCACTCAGACCAAAACACCTTGGGGAGGAAACTTCACCAAGCAGTGATCACAGCCTGTGCCTATTTCTGGGTCTGGGTTTTGGCAAAGGAGTGTTTCCCATTGGGAGACTGGGAATCATTTGTTTCATAGCAAAACAGCCACTGGCCAGCCAGGTCATGCTCTTGCTGCCTCCCTTTTTCATTTTATGTTCCATACCAGCAGCGTTGGAGCTGGGCAGTGTGTGGTAGACCTATACAAAGCAAGCATTGCAGACCCACGTGGTCATACCAATCCATGTAGCAACCCAACAGAGGATGCTGAGGCTTGAAATACTTGAAGTACAAATACAAACTCTTTTACTATATTAGACTCCAAAAAAATGGTTTTGTGGGGACATGGTAGGATTACATTCATGCAGAAGATGAGATACACCATAGCAAATATTGTCATGATAAAATGGGAGGCAGGTGATCAACACAGTATTTACCACCTTGCCTGAAACTATGCAGGAACAAAACAGTGGTGGATGTGCTATGAGATGATTGTGTCCTACTGAAAAAATCTTTGACTTTGTTTACTCTGAGTGGTCCTTCTTCCCTAGCCTTTCTGTGTATTTTGGATTTATCAGTGGACAGGCTGTTTTTCCCCTCTTCTCCATCCTTCTTGCTCGAGCTTCTCTCTGCCAGCCTACCATGCCTATTAGCACTTTGATTGCAAAAAAACGCTGTTTATTTTCAAGCTGATTATTTCCATCCCCAGGCTGTTCTGGCACCACAGGATTCACTGTTGGTGCTTCTTATAGCTTTGGAAACAGCTGAATCACAAAACAGAGGGGAAATAGATATTATTAATTATATTAAGCCAAAAATGGTTTAAGACTGTAATTTAGTTTGGAAGGGGGAGCAGGATGTGGATTATTTTTGTCATTCTTTTCCTCTTGCAAACAGGCTTTTGTTGTGTCAGACAGTTGATTATGGGCATGGTGAGGTTTCTGCTTGTTGATAAGTAGCTCGGGAGATACAATTCTTGTGCAACTGGCAATGTAATGGTGTCTTCTGTGCAGACTGTAGCATGCAAAACTCAAGTCAGTGTTAAGTCCTTGCTGCCTAAAATGCTCCTGGGCTAGGGGGGAGAGCTACAAAACTTATAAGGCATTTCTTAATGCTGAGCCAGGGCAGAGATGTGAGAAAACTAACAGCTTGATGAAGAGGCAGTAGCAATTATGGCAGGCATTAAATCCATATCTGTGCTTGGGGCACATAACTTTGCAAGCTGGGTTGAGGGGGCTAATCAGCCCTGTACTGGAGGGTTCTTTTTTAGAGCTTTGTCTAAAAAAAAAAAAGCAGCCTTGCCTTATAGGGAGAAGATTAAAGCTTCATCATTCAACTGCAGTAAGCATCCTGCAGTAAGCTTTCAATGAAAACCAAACAGAATAGAGGCGAACAGGCAGCGCTTGGTCCAAGAAAAAAATCATCCTACTATGCAGACACCCCCTTTCTGAAACACGGGGCGACTGTTGGATAGCATGGGTTGCTGGGCATGTTTGGAGTGAGGTTTGTCAATGTCGATCCCTTGCTTGAGGTGTCTTTTTGGAAAGTCTTGCTTGCAGGCAGGAAGAGAGAGATTGAGAAGTGCGAGGCTTTGTGCCTTGTATTTTCCTGGAAATTATCTTGGGATGCTTTACAAGTTATGAATCCCCTTTTTTCCCTTGCTCCTGCTAATTTATACAGGACCGGGTTATTTTTCCTGTGTAATCCCATCACAGACTGCCCCACAACAATCTGACACACTGGTTTACTGTGCAATCGCTATATTTTCTACTGCTGAAGGATACTTTGGCTCCAACAGACAATGCCTGCCCATTTTCTGCAAGAGCTGTAAAAGACTGTAAAGATCTCCCTGAAACATGAAGGAGAGACATAAGGGGAAGGAGATTCCAAGAAAGACTATGTAGGCTGGAGAGTTGCTGGGGATGGGCGGTATTCATCACAGCTTTGGAGGCACTGTCTAGGCAATATTACTTATCATGATGCTGCTCCTTCCTGCCTGTTGATTGTATTTAATTCCTTGAAATCTGTGGTTATTGACCAATCTTTTTTCTTCCTCCCTGCCTCCAGGTAATGATCAGTGAGATGCTTCAGAGGGAAGGGGAAATGGTAGCAGCGGTGGGAGGTTCTGATCTCCAAGGGGTCCCTGTGTGTCTCTGTGTCTGTGCCTATTGCCTGCATCCCCCATCCCTCTCCTCTGGCCAGCTGGCCTTTCTCTCACACACCCCCATATTCTCTTGCTAGTTTATAAAGAATATAATACCCCACAGACTTGC